GATATAAGAAATAAATCAGAATGCAAAAAAACTCCATTTTTACCCTCTATGTGGTGAGATATACGCTTAACAATTGTTTTATTTTTTTTATTTTATTTTATCGGTATGAAGATTTTGATTGGAATTGAAGCAATTATTTTTTTTTTTTTTTTAATTTCCATAAAATTTTCTAACATGACAAGCAAGTATAATGTTTCACTGAATTCAATTGAAACATGAACCGATAACTTAATTAAACAATCGAAAGATAACATAAAATAGTCCCCTTACGAAAAAAAATAAAAAAAAACATAAAACCGAGATACCTTGGTTTTACTTTAGTATATAAGCTGTTCTGCAGGAAAAAAATAAAACAAAAGCCCAAATGGTGCTGTGTTCAGCTGCTCAAACGTCTTGGGTGAGGATTTTCCAAGTAAGACTCTCGAGTCGATGGCCCGATTTGTCACACAGAAGCACATATCGCTGTTGTATTTGTATGTACACGTACATTCTTATGTCACCCACGAATTTAGAGGCTGTCCCGGCTTACGTCCTCTTCCTCTTCGTCTCCACCTCGACGCCTCCACTCGTACGACTTGATCTTATTTCCAGGTTTAATGTTGCTATTACAATTGTCGCCAAGCCCGTCTTGCAGTATTTTTTCGCTGACAAATCGCCGATCGACCCAATGATACTCTTATCCCCTAATGTGACTATTTAATTTGCCTCAATCCCCCAAGCGGATAAAGAGATTCTTTTTTCTTTTCTATTTTTATTTACTTTTTGAGTACCACACCTTGTACTGTTTGTTAACCACAACGTGATTATGAGCCAACTACGGTCTGTTCACAATGCAATTATCCAGGTCCTCGTAGAAGTCAACCCCTTGCCTACTTTGTTCCAAGAATCGCTACCCCGTGAATAATGTATTCCCTACAACTCATTTTTAAACAACGAAGCCTTGCCAGTTGGACTTCCAATATTGACTAATAATAAAAAAAAAGGGTTAGAAAGATAAGCTCACCTGCACAGGCAAAAAGCTATCTCGATCGAGTGCTTGTGGTTGGCCAATTTGTAGAAGTGCTGCAAAGAGCCCATGCACTCCGAACGTGAGCATCTCGAGTGCTCGCAGTGGTTCAGCACCGGCTGCAGCAGTGACTTGCACTCCGCGTCGCTCCTGTCGAACAATTGTCACGTGTATTTCTTTTTTCTTTTTTCTTTTTTCCTACTTTGGTGTCGTAAAAAAACGTAATTTCTCTTGGGCCTTGTATAATCAGTTGAAACCTACACTTGGCTTGACATGACATAATTGACCAAAGTGTCAGGAAATTTCTAATTAGGAGGAAAGAAGTGCGCTTTGGTCTTTAGTGATACTAAAGCCATGGATACTTTTTTTTTTTTTTAATTGGCTGCAGTTAAATTATACTGAGTTAGATAGTAAAAAGAGGAAGGGGTCTGGAATTAGTAACGAAATGTAAGTTAAATATTCCATGTTAAAAAAAAGTGTAAAAACAAGAAGCACACAGTTTATGACATAAGCTTGTTTTATCTCACTTGCAGGTGGAGTAGGCCTGATGGCAGGTGCTGGTGAGCACCACCTTGACCGGCTGCTGGGCTATCCTCTCGTTGTCCGACAGCGGCGATGGGGCCGCTTGGCCACCTACAATCACAAAACATGTTGACCATTGCATTTGCTTCATTTTATACCAAATTTTGTTGTATTTTGGACGATAGAGTTGTGAGCCACATTTATTTTCATAAGGTCATGTTTTTTTCTCTCCCTATCGTGCACACGTGCAGCCACTCGTATGAATTGTACCAACTAAAATAGCAACAATACCACGAGGGAAACATTTCTCAGGCTTTCCTTACGGGGATGCGCGTGTGCGAGCAAACTCCCAAACTCCCATCGAAAGACGCACTTCAGAAGAGCATAACTCGAGCTAGGAGCGAAGATTGTACGTGAGAGACGGAGGAAGAGGAGCACAAGTGGGAAGAGAAGAAGGACGAGATCTTGCCTGAACAAACGAGCAAAGTAAATGGAATTGATATTCATAGAAGAGGCAAAAACTCTTCGGTCTCTTCCTCTTTATCTGCATGTCTTTACCTATGCATCACTACATACATGTCGTTGTTTTGTCACTAAGATAAGCGTATTGGTGTATTTATGCTCAACACACAATGCATGCATGGAAAGAAAGATACAGGTACTTAAAAGTGGTCCCTTTTTTGCTAATGACCAACTGACCTTTATGGATGATATTTTATTATAAATATATACAAAGTGAATCAATAGATTGTTTTTCATATATCGAATAGAAAAGCGATAACCATAGGTTTGCATACACATCGTAAAATAAAGACATAGAAAAAAAATAATTTAAAAGTGTTATGGTTAGCACCTGTCCATTTTTTTAGACACCTCACCAAAATGATATTACAAACGGGTCACGGCAAAAACACAGAGCCGCTGAATTGAAGTTAACGAAGGAGCAGACTAACACGATAAACAACTACGGATAAACATTTAAATAATCCGTTATTGTGGCCCGCTTTACCCCCACCCGTTTTCCCAGCCCGGCGCTTTTTGTGCGCTGCCAAGTGTTTTGAATATTAATGGGATTTTCCCTGGAAAGATGGAGATACCTACGTAAAGAGAAAATACTAGGGAGAGAGAGAGAGGGCTAAAGCTCGAGCGTTACATTGAGCTACAGATTTTAAAATCCAATAACCAGAGCTGCCACGCTGCGAACATGCGTGTGTTAATGAAACCCATACATACGTAACTCGCTTCATTTTCCATTGGCCCGAGTTGTTATCAATGCTTCATTTTCCATTCCCTCGCTTTCTCTCTCCCCACCCTTTCTCATCCATCATTATTATTCCTCTTATTTTCTCCCCTTTTTTTTGTCTCCTCCGTCCGTATCTACCTCTCCATTATTTTTTCAACTTTTGTCTCGTCGTCCAATTTCCTCGCGCCAGATTGTAGTCACCGCTCTTTTGTTCTTCGCAACTTATCGCAATAATCAACTTTCCGTATAATTAAAAATTAATGATTTTTGCGGCATATGAAGCAAGTTTAATTCATTAATTGTATTGTAACATTGGAAATACGTGGGAAGAAAGTGGGAAAAAAGAAGCCAAAAAAATCTTAAGAGGATAGTCACAGATGTTCCATGTACTTAGATCTGCAGTTAGTCGGGTAACCGGGGATTACCGTATATTAAGAAAAGAAAGCTATGGTTCCCCTGCCAGCACGCGTTTGTGCGCCGATAACGAGTGACGATTCCGAGCTCGATGTTTCCAGGGGGGGGGGCTCTCCCCCTGAGGATAATGAAAATATCAGCTGTGCCGTCCCTTATGCTGCTCCTGGTTCTCGATTTGCCGGTACAGATCTTCGGCCGGGTCCCCATGGTGTCCTTTAAGCCCCTGAGATTACGTTAATTGCGCCTACTTGGGACTTGGGAAGCTGGCTTTACATCCCATTTGCCCCTCGGATTCCGTAGCCAGTCGTCTCTCCTTCTCGTTGACTCCCCTCGTTTGTATAATCCAAAATCTGCGCTCGTCCTTTTTAATGAATTCTCAGAATCTTTGAGATCACACGAGATGACCTCATTTTTTACCCAAAATTAAATCAAATTCCTTAAGGTCCTATTATTCGCTTCATTCATTATTTGTCCCTGATCGAATATTGACTATTACTACTTGTCAAGATTATCAACTTTGGTATTGTTTTTTTTTTACTTTCTTTTTAATATGCTCTTTTAAGTTAGCCAATCGAGTAAACATCGTCAATTTACGGGCGTCTGACATAATATTGATTAGTACTACTTATGACGATTATCAGGTAAATTATTATTTGCATGCTTTGATACAATTTTTTAATAATATTATATTTTTTTTTAAATGCCGAGTTATTCGACAACTTATATTCAATAAATCAGTAATGGTGTTCTTTATAATTGTCAGTAATCCCGTCTGATCCAAAACACTGCACTACTACTTGTGACAATTACTACGAAGCCTATTGCGTGCAATTGTTTAAAAATTTTTATTTTCTTTTCATAAGGAATTTATTGCAGCGTAGCTTCGGCAAGGTCTGGTGAATTGTTGACCATGATTACTGATGATAATTACTGTATTTAATTTTATTCATGCACTTAAGGATTTCTTAAAAACATTTACTAGAAAAATACTTTTTTCTACTGTGTTAGATTAATTTTTATCTGATGTATTCAATATGTCGTAAATCGGGTTGTATTTATTAACCAGAAATATTTTATCGAGCTGTATAATCTTAATCGAATCGAAGATTAGGCCAAAATCCCAGAAAAAGTCTCGAAAGAAAACATCGGTACTCCGATAGCGATTTCAATCAACGAAAAAAGCATACATGGACACAGATGGAATTAGTAAGGGAAAGCGATAACCCAATAGGATAGGAAAAGCCTCAGAAAATGAACAAGTCAGGGACAGAGGGTCAATTCGTAGATACAGGAAATGGTCAGTAAACCCTTGGTACAAAATAAAACAGCCACTGCCCGCAGCTGAAAGGCACGACAAGGAGATTGATGACCAGAGTAGAATAATAACAAAAAATAAAATCGCGAGTAAATATGGCATTGTTGGGAAATCAGCTGATCTGCCACTGCTTTCGTGGTCGAGGTGTGCTACATACATTTTCCAAGCTCCAAGCGTGGGAGCAACCGTGAATTGATTGCATTGATTGCATTAGAATCGCTCGCTCGTTCACGAGTAATTAAGCACTGGTTATCCTTTAATCCCTGTTGATTACCTACTCGTCCATTCACCCTCTCTGTCTCCGCAGCGAGTGATTGATTTTGGGTTGCGGGGCGCTTCCGGCACTTTATTTTCAGTCCCCTCTCAGCACGTGCGTGGGGCTTGAATTATTTAGTGCACCCGGAAGTCAATGATGCCAAAATTATTCCGACAATAGCGCATGTAAATCTGCGTCCGATCGAACATTGACTGTCATCACTCGTGTGAATTATGGGATTATTTATAGCATTTACTCGGTTTTTTTTTTTTTTTTTTTNCCAGACTCGAATTATTCAATGATTGGTGATACCATTGTTACCCATATTTAAAGTAAAAACCACTTAAACGTGCACTCACCAACGCAAGGATTGACCCAAAGCAGCCGCTGCCATCCTAGGCACTCGTAAAACGACGTAGACTCGACTCCCTTTTTATCCGCGCTCCTGCAGACGCAGTTCGAGCGCAGCTCCGTGCCTATGATGCCCAGCATCGCCGTACGGCACGTCTGCGCTGGACCAGCGCACTTCTTCGTCACGCTGTCTATCGCGCAGCTCTGCTCGTAATGCTCCAGCTTTGTCCTGAGGATTATTGAAAAGATTTTTTTTATTTTGTGTCTCCAGCATCAAATTTTAAAATTTTCTCAACATAAAGTTAATGTGTAAAAGAAAGTATTTGTATGCAAAAAATTGCGCAACTGTGAGAGTGAAAAAATTTATATCAAAGGAATTCAAGAAGCGCAACTCTCCCCAACGTGTGAAATGTTTGTAATACAAAAATTCATCAGCGCATATTTCTTATTCTCCCTGAGCCCCGTCTCTTTTGTTTCTCCCGTCTCGCTTTAGAATTTATATAATTTTATTTCATATCAGAAGGCACTTCACATTTCGCACCGCCACGGAATTCTTCGTCTCTAATGCTTCGCTGCCTCCTCTTGTGTTTCTTCTTCAACGTATATTAAAAAATTTTTAGCCACGAGAACCTCATACCTCGAGATTCTTACTTACATGGATACTTATTCTCGCGTACAAAAGTATGAGACAAATTTTTACGCGACAAAATAAAAGTGTTCCAGCTGACCTGCAAATCGGATTTTTACGGCAATTCTCGCCGAGGGTGTCGCACGTGGGCGTCTCCGAGCCAGCCGGTACGCGCAGCGCACACGTCGGGTGCATCTTCTCCTGTGCCATCATACACTCGTCCTTCGTGTGTTTCCCCTCTGCTCTCCTGTAAAGAAGCAGAAGAAAAAAAAATACATCACAAAAATTATTGCAAATCATTTAAAAGTAAATTGTATCCATTGATATATTTTTGAATAAAAATCACGGCCAGGGACGAAGAATTTATTTTTGTTGCAGAAACCAGCGACAAGGCAGATGCGACCCATCAGCGGTTGAAAAAGTTTGCCGTATTTTATTATCGAATCTGTCACGCCGGCCCACCCGACGCACCTATTGTCCGAAATCGCAGCTGGAAAATTCAAAAGAGCGAAACTCTCGCATTGTAGGGTGGCACCGCTGGGAGAGAAGAAGTAGTCAAGTTTGTTATGTGATCAGACGGTGGAGGTGGAGCGCCTCTTCAAAAGTTTTTGCATATAACCCTCTTTTCGAATATATTCTGAGTTGATACACTTCCGTACATGTGAAGTCGGCATGAGAGAGAATATAACGAATGGTAGAAAAGTTGTGACCCTATCTCTATTATCTGTACTCCCTTCGTTTGTATAATCCAAAATCTGCGCTCGTCCTTTTTAATGAATTCTCAGAATCTTTGAGATCACACGAGATGACCTCATTTTTTACCCAAAATTAAATCAAATTCCTTAAGGTCCTATTATTCGCTTCATTCATTATTTGTCCCTGATCGAATATTGACTATTACTACTTGTCAAGATTATCAACTTTGGTATTGTTTTTTTTTTACTTTCTTTTTAATATGCTCTTTTAAGTTAGCCAATCGAGTAAACATCGTCAATTTACGGGCGTCTGACATAATATTGATTAGTACTACTTATGACGATTATCAGGTAAATTATTATTTGCATGCTTTGATACAATTTTTTAATAATATTATATTTTTTTTTAAATGCCGAGTTATTCGACAACTTATATTCAATAAATCAGTAATGGTGTTCTTTATAATTGTCAGTAATCCCGTCTGATCCAAAACACTGCACTACTACTTGTGACAATTACTACGAAGCCTATTGCGTGCAATTGTTTAAAAATTTTTATTTTCTTTTCATAAGGAATTTATTGCAGCGTAGCTTCGGCAAGGTCTGGTGAATTGTTGACCATGATTACTGATGATAATTACTGTATTTAATTTTATTCATGCACTTAAGGATTTCTTAAAAACATTTACTAGAAAAATACTTTTTTCTACTGTGTTAGATTAATTTTTATCTGATGTATTCAATATGTCGTAAATCGGGTTGTATTTATTAACCAGAAATATTTTATCGAGCTGTATAATCTTAATCGAATCGAAGATTAGGCCAAAATCCCAGAAAAAGTCTCGAAAGAAAACATCGGTACTCCGATAGCGATTTCAATCAACGAAAAAAGCATACATGGACACAGATGGAATTAGTAAGGGAAAGCGATAACCCAATAGGATAGGAAAAGCCTCAGAAAATGAACAAGTCAGGGACAGAGGGTCAATTCGTAGATACAGGAAATGGTCAGTAAACCCTTGGTACAAAATAAAACAGCCACTGCCCGCAGCTGAAAGGCACGACAAGGAGATTGATGACCAGAGTAGAATAATAACAAAAAATAAAATCGCGAGTAAATATGGCATTGTTGGGAAATCAGCTGATCTGCCACTGCTTTCGTGGTCGAGGTGTGCTACATACATTTTCCAAGCTCCAAGCGTGGGAGCAACCGTGAATTGATTGCATTGATTGCATTAGAATCGCTCGCTCGTTCACGAGTAATTAAGCACTGGTTATCCTTTAATCCCTGTTGATTACCTACTCGTCCATTCACCCTCTCTGTCTCCGCAGCGAGTGATTGATTTTGGGTTGCGGGGCGCTTCCGGCACTTTATTTTCAGTCCCCTCTCAGCACGTGCGTGGGGCTTGAATTATTTAGTGCACCCGGAAGTCAATGATGCCAAAATTATTCCGACAATAGCGCATGTAAATCTGCGTCCGATCGAACATTGACTGTCATCACTCGTGTGAATTATGGGATTATTTATAGCATTTACTCGGTTTTTTTTTTTTTTTTTTTTTTTTTTTTTTTTTTTTTTTTTTTTTTTTTTTTTTTT